TAGCCTATCCTATTCCGTCCCCAGGTTGGCCTGTGGGTTCCCAGGGAGTCTCTGCTGGAGTTGGCAGGTGTGACAAAGCCATGAGTGAGGAAAGTGAGGTTACAAGGGAGGATCTATGGAATCTACCTGAGGTGAGGTGTGGAGAGGCTGCTGCAGGTGTTCTGCTACAGAGCTGGGGATGAGACTAAGGGATTGGAGGATTGGCAGAAGAAGTGAAGATCTGCAGTTAGCCTACCTGAGTCACTGCTAGAGTGGCCTGTGTGCTAGTAGGCAGCGTTTAGGAGTTAGGAAGTGAGATTAAAGCAAATAGGGGGTGGGAAGTTAGGAAGGATAGATCTGTGGGATCCACTGAAGACATGGGCAGGGGAGAAGGGGGGCCTCACAGGTAGTCTGCTGTAGAGTTAGGGATGAAACTAGGGAATTGGGTTTGGAGGTATGCAGGGAGAGATGAAGATCTGGGGTTAGCCTACTTGTTCCCCTGACAGAGCGGCCTGTAGATTCTCAGAGAGGGCCTACTGGAGTTTGGGACTGGGATAAATGGGGATGGAGGTTAGGAGGGGGAGATCCATGGGATCCAATAAAAATGAAGTGGCTGAGTGTTTTAGTTTGGTCTTTACTTGCTATGATGAAACACCGTGATCAAAAAGAAAGTTGATGAGGAAAGGGTTTATATGGTTTATAATTCCATATCTCTCTCTGTTCATTGTGGAAGGAAGTTAGGCAGGAACTCAAACAGAGCAGAAACTTGGAGCCAGAAGCTGATGCAGAAGTCATGGAGGGGTGCCTCTGACTGGCTTGCTCCACATAGCTTTCTTATCTTGCTTTCTTATAAAAACCAGGACCACCAGCCCAGGAAAGGTACCACACACAGTGGCCTGGGCCACACCCCTCATCAATCACTAATTAAGAAAATGTCCTACAGCCAGATTTTATGGAAGCATTTTCTCTGTTAAGGTTCCCTCCTTTCAGATAACTCTAGTTTGTGTCACATTGACATAAGGCTGTCCAGCAAGGTGAGTCTGTTGTAGGTGTTCTGCTGTACTCACAATAGGGACAAGTACAAAAGAGCTCGTGTCTACTTCCTGGCACAGCTTGAATCATCTCAGAAGATGACTCAATTGAGGAAATGTCTTCATCAGATTGGACGGCAGGCAAAGTCTGTAGTGCCTTTTCTTCATTAGTGACTGATGCAGGATGGCCCAGCCCCATGTGGATGGTGCTACCCTGGGCAGGTGGTCCTAAGCTATAAAAGAAAGTAGGTTGAGCAAGCCATGGGACCAAGCCAGTAAGAGCATTCTTCTATGGCTTTTACTTCAGTTCCTGCCTTGAGTCCCTGCCCCGATTTTCCTTCATGGTGGACTTCAACTGTAAGCTGAATAAAGCCTTTCCTACTCAAGTTGCTTTTTGTCATGTTGTTTTATGATGGCAATACAAGCAAACTAGGATGAAGGCATTTTCTCCATAGCACTGGCCTATGAATTCTGGTGTGGGTGGTTCATATCTTCCTCTCTCTGTCTCTGTTTCTGTCTCTGTCTCCCTCCTTCTCCCCTCTCTTCCCCTTCCTACTCTCCCTATGTCATTATCCTGCCACAAAAGAGGCCACTTTTTTGACACTATACAGACAGGGCGTCAGCAATAGCAGTGGTACAGTGCAAGTAGAATAGCTGTGAGCAGGTTTCAGAATGGGGGGTTATCTAGATTGCTTATAAGGATTGGCCAACTTGGTTCTCTCTTACAGTACATTTTAGACTAAAAATGGAAATAGAGTCTGAGTTTATAGATAGCAACAGATATGACCAATCTGATTAAGAAAGATCAAGGTTCTGTTTAAACATTAAATTTATTCAAATTTTAATTTCATTTTTTCCTCCAAATATAGAACATTTATTTTTGTTTAAATAATGGGCAATGGTGAATATTTGAATAAATTTCCTGTTTTGGAGACAGCTTCAAATTCATCTCTTCCTCTCTTCTTTAGTGTAATCCTGAGGAATGTGTTCCCTGGCCCTCTATCACTACCTTCTGAAACCCATTAAGTTTGGATTTTAATTCAGATCTTAGGACTTCAGAAACTGCCATAGTCATCAAACTCAAGCTTCTTAACCAGGCTGTGTATCAGAGTATTCTGGCAGCTTTTTTTGTACTGTTCAGTCTTGGGTTGCCCCCACAGGATGTCTGAAGAAATACTGGGATTGTTGATAAAGAAGCTCATAGTAGGTATATAATAACATGTTAGGTCATGACTCATATTCTGAGGAGATGTAGCACATTGAAGGGAATAAACTGAAAGAAGGAGGCATGAGTTGAAGAGTCATTTGGGGAAGCCAGCCTGTGAGAGGAAGGGACATTTAAATTTTAGATATTCAAGAAAAGATACAGCAAGCCTTGAAGAGGAAGATGGGGATGGTGTCTCCTCTGAGAGAACATCAGGTCCAGAGATGCAGAGGAAGGTGTGTGGAGGAGATGCAAGGAGACAGATTAGTGTGGCTCGAGTGGAGTTGCTCAAGTCAGCTTGGGCCATCCTTGGGTGTCACATGATCATAGAGCAGGTATGGACACACACTCTTATTTACCTACTCCTTTTCTCTGCCTACACCCCACCAAGCAATGAAAGGAGGTAACAGGTAAGGTATAGCCTGATGAACTGGCTTCATTCCAGCCAGGAATGAAAGACGACAAGGAGACTGAGATGGACTGAAGTGATTAGTAGTGAGGGAGTAGCTGCTGATTTGATTGGTGAATACAATTAAACAAGTTTTTTGCCTCGCTGTCTACAATTTGTGATTTAGCTGGAATTTTTCTTTAAAATTAGTAAAAGAAACCCCGTGTCCCTATTATGCTTACTTTAGTACTATCCTGGAGTTGCAGATTTTTCCTTAAATTAAACCACCATGCCATCTTTCCTTCCCACCACCAAGACTATGCCTCAAGTGGACACTAGTCTTTTCTCATGAGAGCAATATGTACTCAATACAAAATAGAATGGCCTATCCTTAAAGTGTAACCCATCATGGCAATGACTCTTCAACAATGAAAGAGTTCATTATGCTGAGTATGGTTGCATTAGATAGTATTAGTTTTAATTTGTTTTCCACATTTTCAACTTGATGATTTTAACTATAATATGGAGATTAAAATGATGTGTTATAATTGGCCCTTGCATATGCTGGATGAGAAATCTTACACCAGCTCAGTGGGATGTAACTAAGTTTTCTTGTCACAGCAGGCAGGTTCAAAGTGTCCTAGGGGCCTCTGTCTGAGTGGTTGAAGCACACAGGGAAGGTGTGATGGCTTTCTTGGTTGTCAGCTTGACTACCAAATTAACTAAAACCAAAAAATGGAGGACATATCTGTGGGGATTTTTGGTTAATTTGAAGTAGGAAGATCCACTTCTATTCCACATCTGTGACTTTGGGGGTGCTGGTCTGGAGCCCAATTTTCCTAAGCTATCTTTATCATTAAACAGCTGCTTATTGTCCATCTCTGTGTTTGCCCTAGCATCTTAGTGATCATTAGGTTAAAAACAACCCTTCACCAACCTAGAGACTAAGACCATCCTAAGGTATTATATGAAGCTTACAACAGAGATATTCATGCTTCACCTGGCATGCTGGCCTGAGTCCTACAGACACCTTTTTTTTTTATTCTTTTATTAGTTCAAATTAGGAACAAGCTTGCTTCAGATGTCAATCCCTTCTCCCTCTCCCTCACCTTCCCCCTAGCCATCCCCCCTCCACTCCCCAGGCAGGGTAAGGCCCTCAAAAGGGGCTCCCCAAAGTCTACCACATCATCCTGAGCCAGGCCTAGGCCCTTCCCCATGTCAGACACTTTTTTTAAAACACCAAAATTTGTGACTTTCTTTGTTCTATTTCTAGAAAAATCTTGTGAAATTGTTACCATATTGGAATATTGTATTTGGGAAAAATAGAATGTGTTCTTTTTTGTCCATGATCACTAATGATTAGCTCCAGAATAAACTTTGTCTTATTCTTTCTGAATTGAGGGCTATGGTTTTGTATTAACATAACTTAAGGGTGCCCTCTGTCTCTGTGTCTCTGTCTCTCTCTGTCTCTTTGTGTCTCTCTCTGTGTGAAATGTGTCTGCCTTTCTGTCTCTCTCTCCCTCTAGTCCTTCCCTTGGTCAATATGACTTTTGGTCACCAACTTTTATTGTATTGACGGGCCTTCTTTGTATGCATTGGGAGGGCAAACTCTCACTGTGTTTATAACTTGCCAAATGGTGTTGTGGAAGAAAGTTTCCTATGAATACCACAGATTAGATTAAGATATTTTTAATTTAAGGAACATTATACTTATGGAAACTGAATTGCTTGTGTAAAGCTCTCAGGTTCCCCTCTCCATGAATTATTTTATTCCTTTCATTGTCCTTTGCTATTTTGAACATATAAACAATATTCACTTATATCAGAAAAATATATGCTTGAAAGGCAAAATTACATATCAGAAAATTGAGGATACAGTTTCCTGTCATCAGATTGAAGAAAAATTGATATCAATATTTGTTAGACTATTAATTCTAACAAATAAGTTTATTGTAAGACTATTAAGATTACTAGACTATAAGGCTAATTGAGAAATGCTGAGAACATAGTTTATTAAAGACAGAGGATGCCTTTGTAGAGCATCAGAGTACAATCTGTTTATTTTTCATTTTGTTAGCACATGGAATGAAGGAAGACAATCAGATTCCAGAGAAACAAATTTTTCATTTCTTTCCCATGCTCATTATGTATCACTTCAGAGGATCCAAACAGTGTTTTCTATAAGGCTAACATTTTATTTACAAAGAAGAGATGTAATTAAATGGATTTACTCAGTTATATTGTTGTGGTGCTATTGGGAGAAAAAAAACAAGAAGAAAGCAATGCAGGACTTCATGAGCAAGAGAAGGATAGATTCAGGTGATGCAGAAGGTTGGTTTTCCAGGGGAAGCCTTCCCCAAAGGATTAATTTGGTACATTCCAAGCCAAGAACAATTCATTAGGAAGTATTCTTGAGGATATACTTAGCAATAAATTTGACAGAAAGCATGGTTTCTTTACATGTTGGCTTTATCCGGGATTCTGGAAGAAGGAAACCAAATTTGCCTTTATCACGGAGCTCAAAGGCAAATGTGTGTTTGATGCCCAGGTCATAAGCCCAGTCTAAAGAAGAGCCTGATGTCGGATCTGCAAAACAGAATCAGTAAATATTTCATTAGAGGCAAGTACTGAGGCTTTTTCCCCCATTTTTAAATTTGAGTTAGAAACAAGATTGTTTTACATGTCAATCCCAGTTCCCTCTTCCTCTCCTCCTCCCCTACCACCTGACCCCCAACTAAAACCCTACCTATCACATACTCTTTCTGCTCCCCAGGGAGGGTGAGGACTTCCATGGGGATCTTCAGATTCTGTCATATCCTTTGGGTTAGGGCCTAGGCCCACCCCCATGTGTCTTGGCTCAGAGAGTATCTTTCTATGTGGAATGGGCTCCCAAAATCCACATCTATGCTATCGATAAGTACTGATCTACTACTGAAAGCTCCATGATTTCCCAGGCCTCCTCACTGACACCCAGGTTCCTGGGGTCTGGATAAGTCCCATGCTGGTTTCCCAGCTATCAGTCTGGGGACCAAGAGCTCCCCGTTGTTCAGGTCAGCTGTTTCTGTGGGTTTCACCAGCCTGGTCTGGACCCCTTTGCTCATTACTCCTCCTCCTCTGCAACTGGATTCCAGTTTAGTTCAGTGATTAGCTGTGGGTGCCTGCCTCTGCTTCCACCAGTTGCTGGATGAGGGCTATCGGGTGGCATATAAGTCAGTCATCAATTTCATTATCAGGGGCGGGCATTTAAGTTAGCCTCTCCTCTGTTGCTTAGGTTGTTAGTTGGGGTCATCTTTGTAGATCTCCTGACATTTCCCTAGTGCCTGATTTTTCTTTAAAACTATAATGTCGCCGGGCGTTGGTGGCGCTCGCCTTTAGTCCCAGCACCCGGGAGGCAGAGGCAGGCGGATCTCTGTGAGTTCGAGGCCAGCCCGGTCTCCAGAGCGAGGGCCAGGACAGGCTCCCAAGCTACACAGAGAAACCCTGTCTCGGAAAACAAACAAAAAAAAAAAACAAAAAAAAAAAAAAAAAAAAAACTATAATGTCTCCCTCTATTATGGTATCTCCTTTCTTGCTTTCTTCTATTCTTCCCCCGACTCAACCTTCCTGCTCCCTCACGTCCTCTTCACCCCTCCTCTTCTCCCCCCCCACCCCCCTTTTTTTTAAAGCATTGGAATTGCTGGTTCGGAAGATAAGACTCAGTGGGTAAAATACTTGCAATGCAAAGGTGCAGTCCTAAGCTTAGATTCTCAGCACACATAAAAAAAGCCAGACATAGTGGCTCATGCCTGTAATGCCAGTTTACACAACTGATAAGTTTCAGTTTCCATGAGTGACCTTGTCTCAAAAGAATAGAGTATAAAACAAATGTTGGCCTCTGTCCACACACACACACACACACACACACACACACACACACAAACACACACTCAAAATCGCATGTATAAAATTAATCATAAAAGTAATTATATGTTAATTGCAGTAATGACAAAATACTATAAATGGTACAGAATACATTTATAGTTTACCATATATTTTAAATGTGTACTACGTTCAAACTTTCTAATTTTTTCTTTTTATTACTTTTTAAAATTAGCACATAAAGTGATTTCATTATGACATTTTACTATATACTCATCTTATGTCTTTTTCACTCTTTTGCTCTCTTGTCATTTATGCTGTCAGATAAAATTGTTTACGACCAAGAATGTTCAAGCTAGCTACTTTAAGGATATATTTAATACTCTAATTCAAACTTTCTATGAATTTTTGTGAAACTTTACAAAGATGTCAGTATTTGGTAAAAAAGAAAATGCTTAAAGACATAAACATTTATAGAGATGCTTCTCTCTGTGTGTATGTGTGTATATATTTACGGTGTGTGAATATACATGCTAAATATATAGGTACACACATATTATACAACATACTATAAATGCATGTATATGTTTTCCTTTATGTAATGGGATAGTATTTTGTGTGTAAAATCATTGATAATTTAGGATACCAATATCTTAAGTTTGGAAATTAATAATTTAAAGCTTTTTATAATTTATTCTTTTAAATTTCATTTTACATTCCAACCATAGCTCCCTCCCACCCTTCCTCTATCCCCCATTGCCTCCCACCAGCCCACCCTCACTCCACTCCTCCTCTCGAGTAAAGGTTCCCATGAGGAGTCAACAAAGTCTGACATGATAGGTTGGGGCAGTGTCAAGCCCCTCTCCCATGCATTAAGGTAGAGCATGGCATCCCACCATAGGGAGGGGGCTCCAACTAATTTAAAGCTTCTATGAAGAAGGGAGGGATATTTGGGTGGGAAGAGATATAGTTCAATTATTCAACAGCTGCTTATGAAATCTCTAATAAGCTCAACAGACTTTACATGGGCTGAGCACAGTAATGGATCCATCTAATCCCTGTAATACAGAGGTTTAGACAGAGACATGGTGTGAGGCCCGTGTGGGGATAAACTGTGAGACCTTATCTCAAACAGAAAAACAAACAAAACCAAAACTAAACATAAAACAAAAGCACACTACCTAACCAACCAAAACAAGGCCCAAAACAATACATTTATTTGGTCCTAGAGAGGGCAGGCAATACAAGATTACAAAGATGACTTGTGGTTTCAGGAACTTACAGTTTAGAGGAGAGACAAAGATTTAAAAAACAAAACAAAATCTTAAAAAAAAAAACAACTTAGTGCAGAGCACAGCTGTAAATACCACAAGGAAGCAGCACCACTTGATAAAGGTTTAAAATAGAAGCAATATTGTGCGTGGTGAGCAGGGCTTATACTCATACTTTGTCAAATTCCACTTTGATGATGAAAACCATATTAGAGAAATAAAGAAAGAGAAAAATCTATCTATCTATCTATCTATCTATCTATCTATCTATCTATCTATCTATCTTCTATCTTTCCAGGTGGGGGTAGAGAAAGGCATTCTGGCAGGTGAATTCAAGGGTGAACAAGCCAAGGGCATTTTAGGGACCTGTGAGTTCTGTTTGGCTGGAGTTAAATATGCAGTGAGTAGGAACCCTTGTAAATCTGATGTGTTCAGACTTTTTTTTTTTTTTTGAGAAGCAATAGTCACTTCCATATTCTTTATAGAGTATAAAAAATAGTTTAGGTAAAAAAAGTCTAGGTTAGAAAGTCTAGACAGAAACTGGTAGGCACCATGAAGTGAAAGGCAGAGCTAGGATAGAGACAAAATGCCAGGAATAACGATGCAGTGATAGATGACATAATTTGATAAAAATGACTAAAATTTCAATCTGGGTGTGGGAGAAACGTGTGTTATTAACAAAGATTTGGTGAAGTATGGAATTGAGAGGACCATCGAAGAGAAAGGGGGGGGTGGCCTTGTTAAGACAACCAGGAAGGAGTTTGGGGAAGTTAAACTGTTACTGACCAGGCATTGTGGGTGGAGGTGACATATACATGTTTAGTATTATTTCCTTGTTGGTGAATGGATCCACTTCTCAGTACTAATGTTTGTTGGGTTTTGCTCTGAGATTTACTTTATCTGATATTTACAATAAATTTCTCCTTCAGTTTTTAGTTTGTACCTTTTTTATTTCAATCTGTCTGTATAGTTAGATTAGAAATAAGTTTCTTATAGATGACACATTGATAAATAACAATGAGTTATCTCGAGTCCTTACATACACTGAATGTCAGATGAACTAAAAGTTTTTGATTCAATCATGAGACACGTTGTTGTTATGACTATATTATGTATGAAGGTGTGCATATATCTCTATCTTCTTCCAATTCCTAGTCCATTATTCTTCCTTCCTGCATTTCTCAGCCTCCTTCTGCTATTATTTCCTTTGTGTTTGCAAAGAACCCCTTTAGCAGTCATTTAAAGGAAGGTCTGCAGGTAATAAGTACTCCATTTCCTGTGTCTATTTTCCTCTTTGCTTGTGTCGAGAACACTAAGTTTGCTAGGTCTTTCTTTTCAGCATCTGAAATTGCATTGTTATTTTTGATCTCCATGGTTTCAAATGGATAACAGTCAAACAAATATTTTTGGATAAGTTAGGATACACTTTTCATTGGAGAAATTTATAGGAATCAATTCTACTCTTGCTTCATGTCCTACATTGTGGTAAGTATTAGGGGCTCTGAGGGGCTGACTAATTTACATTAACTTATAACTATAATTCTTTTTAATTTTTTCCTTTTACTGAAAATGGATCTTTTTCTCACATAATATATATCCTGATTATGTTTCCCCCTCTCTCTACTCTCCCCTCCCATTTAAATCCACCACTTTTCTGTCTCTCATTGGAAAACAAACATGCTTCTAAGGGATAATAAACACAATAAATAAACTAAAATATGATAAAACAAAAATCAGTGCATTGGAACTGGATAAGACAAACAGGGGAGGGGGGAAGCCCAAGAGAAGGTACAAGACACATAAAATCATTAAACTGGAAGCCATAATATATGTACAGAGGACCTGTTAAGACCTATGTGAGGTCCTGTGCATGCTGCCTCAGTCTATATGAGTTCATATGAGCTATGCTTATGTTGATTTAGAGGGCTGTGTTTTCTTGGTGTCCTCCATCCCCTCTGGCTCTTACATTCTTTCTGCCCCTTTTCCCACAGGGTTCACTGAGCCCTTAGGGGAACAGTTTAATGGAGACCTCCTGATAACCATAATTCTTGCTATAAGAGAAGAAATCATCTTAATTCACAGAGTCCAGTCTTTGGGAAAAATGAAATCATGTTTTTGTTATTGTTGATTTTATTTCTTGAAAATAGAAAAGCTTGGTTAGTCACAAAAACCATATAACAAAAGTCATGCACAGCAGTAAGGACTTTGGTTTTGTTATAACTTAACTTTATAATGCCTTTGCCAGTCCTTGTAACTGGGAGATAGTATTTGCTCATGTTTGGGGTGTTTTTGTGAGGATTAATTTAGATCATGAGAATCAAGTGTTGAGTTCAGTGACCAGCTTATGAGTGGACAACAAACAATTACAGATGATACTTAGAATGCAGTCTGAGACTTGACAAGTTATGTATTCCTGATTTTGAGAATGGGGTTTATATGAACATAGACATGCTCATTTTAAACTTATTGTCTGTGACTGCCTTTGAATTACAATGCTCCAGTTGAGTAGACACACTTAGGAGATTCTGGCATTAAAGTCAAAACAAATAGCTGATCTTGTAGAAAGTTTCCTGATTCCAGGTAAAAAGAATAAGAAATTAGAAAGTTCCTTAAGGCTAAGCAAAACAAGTAAAAAGTCAGCAACAATGACAGCCTATAATATTGAAGAATTAAAAATTTCGGTGAGAATATAAACAAAAGAAGAGAACTCAAATCTCCTTTCAACACTACCAATCAGATTCATTTGCCCGTAACAGGAAAAACAGATCAGAGGGATAAGAGATGACTATAACATCCCCACCTACCATAGATTAATGAGAAGACACTACTAGAAGGCAAACAAGGCCAAAGAAGAGATGGTTCCATTTAAGTTACACAGATGGAACTAGACGTGGCCTCTGTCCCAACTATTTCTTGTTCGGCTGAAGATAAAACATTTGGTGTTGGGGAACAGGAAGGTAGATGAAATAACATGCAAATTTCTATTGATTTAATATTTTGTCCTAATTATATAGCCTTGTAGAAGTTCATTGTAATTAGTTTCAGACACTGCCCTCTCTCTGGAGACAGGCACATCCTGTGTTTCAGGTTCCCATATAAATGCAGAATCTCTTGTGACAACTGGAGTTTTATAATCTAAAAATTTGATCATTTTCTTTACTATTCACACAGATATAGGGAAAAATTCACAGTAAATATCAAGAAAAACTTACAAATTGTTGATGCTATTGGGCCATAGATGTAATGGGTTTCATATCTAGACGAGAGAAAATCAGTGGCAATCCTGGCAACCTTGAGCTAGAGATGAAAGTGAGAGGGGGATTACAGGATGCTATATGAAAACCTTTTTCTAAGAATTAAAAACCAGTTTTACAGGTTATTTAGCATTTGAAGATTAAAATATGGTAAATGGTTTAGTAAGAAATATTGTCAAAGTGCAATCAATCAATTATATGGAATTATGTTACATTCTCTCTCTCTCTCTGTATTCTTTAAAAAAGTTTGAAGTTTTATTTATGTAAGTATATGATTGTTTGAATGTTTTGCATGTATGCAGGTATGAGCATCACATGAGTGCCTGGTGTGCATGGAGGCCAGAAGAGGGTAGCAGATTCCCTGTAACTGAAATTGCAGATCGTTGTGAGCCACCATATGGGTGCTGAGACTCAAACCCTGGTCCTCTGCAAGAACAAGTGCTCTACACAGATAAGGCATCTTTCTAGCCTGGTGTGACCTTTCTTTCAGACTCTTTATGGGTTCAGATAGTTGACCCTTTCAAAATCATTTTCTCCTATCCCTTTCTCTGTAATAAGTCCATTATTAATACAGAACTTTCTCCACTTGTGTAATAGAAAAAAAGGTAATTGATTAATTTTTGTTTTAATCTTCATTGACTGAATGTGTGTGTGTGTGTGTGTGTGTGTGTGTGTGTGTGTGTGTGTGTGTGTGTACTACTTGGGATCTTGCACATGACAGTGCATGCTAGTCAAACACTTGGCAACTGAACTACATCTCTAGTATAGCTTATTCACCATTAAAGTGGTCTTGCTATATTAGGGTTTCTTTCCTGGCATTTCATCATACTTGATCAACTGTCTATTGTAGGAGAGTAATTTTTGGGATGAACATTAATGATTATAGTCTCTAATAAATTTGAACTCCAAATGAATGTTTTTCCATTGTTATGTATAAGTATCTGAATTCTATTCTACTGTATTAGCGTTCTATATCTAAGCCATTCAATATTAGAATTCCATTTTGGGTGTTCTAGATATTTCTTCCTTATAAAATTTTCTTAAAATCGCATTGAAATATTTTATTGTATTTACAATTATCAATCAAAAATCTAAATATCATTATTTTAACTACAGAGTAAACTTCATTGGTTCTTTTTCTGGTATTTAAAATGTGAGGCCTTGGTGTGGTGCCAAAACTGAATTTCTAGGATTTGGGAAGCTAAGGCAGGGTGGGTGGTGAGTGTGATGTGTGGCTGGGGCACATAGTGAGTTCAAAGCCAGCTTGAATTACACAGTAAGACTGTGTCTCAAAACAACCAACTAAATAAAGTGAAACCATTTCAGCATATATCAAAGTTGATGAAAAACAGAATACAGTCAATGATGGTTTTGAATGTAGACACCTGAGATATATGTATATATTTACATACCAGGTCACTGTGGTTGGGTGGCAGTTTGGATGTGTAGCCATAAGGAAATAATAGCATTTGGGAGTAGGAATGGAAGGTGATATACGCCTTGATTGAATTCAGATGGCTTCGAATGAAGTTAGTGACAGCTTTTGTCTCTTTTTCAGACTCTGGTGCAGGGCCCCTATAGACTTCCTGGCATGGGTCATTGGTATTTGGAGAAGCTGCAGAAGAAATGTGGATTACAATGCATTGTCTGCTAGCACCACTCCTACCCCTTCTGATATGGCTTCACCCAATGCTTAAAACTTCAGACATCTCCTGTTACATGGTCACTAGAGGATTTGTGTACACATGTCCCATAGACTGTGGAAGCATTCTTAGCTGTATTTGCCCTGCTTGTACAGGTCATAGTAAAAACACAAGTGTCTCAAGGCTTAGAGCCCAGGTCCACACTAGTTGCCATTCAGCCCAGGCTCTGACTCTTTGAGAACTGGCATAAATCACCTGTCGTGAGCCCAAGTTTCTTCCTTTCTTTCAGGAGAATTCTCTTGACTGGGGATGGCTGCTGCTGTTTCAATATTCTTTGTGGTAGACTAGAGTTAAAAGCATGGTAACCTTTTAAAAATGAAACTAGGCAAAGAAGAAATGCACAAATTGGGGCAGAGCTATGGTCTCCCTGGAAGTCTGTAATGATGAAGTTGTGGTTGTGTAGAACTGAATGGTATTGAGGATTATCATTCATTTAACAGATAAGGAAGTCAGTATTCACTCAAAGGATTTCTGTTACTGCTGAATACATAGGTGGTTTACCTAAACTCAAAGTCTAAGTGCAAAACCATTTTCTTAACAACAAATTTGCAACTCACAGTCCCATGAGACATCGAAGTTCCTGTTGAGGTCAGTGCCAATGCAGGTGGAATTCTGGTTCTTGGAACGGTTTTTTCTCCACATTCGGTTCTGCCAGAAGGGACATCAGAATGTGTATACATGGTCACTGCACTTTTCATTGTTACCATCTCAGATCCTCTCTTTATGTGTCTACAAGTTTATTTGAAATCTCCATAGTTAACTTGAGCTCTTTTATTATAAGGAAATTTTGTTTTCTTACAATTTCTAATATTTTCAGATACATAAGTTTTAATGTTAAAATGTTTGAAGCATTGATGAAATTTTTCCACAAGTTAAAAAAGTTGATTAGTTTTCTATATTAGAAAGTGACCACTCCCTGACTTAGAAAGCAGCAAAATGTTTGTATTATTTTAATAATACCTGTGCAACCAGACTATCACAATTGATCAATGGGCAGAACACAAGAAACTTGGGCATGCTCAGCCCTAAATGGGACTCCCCTAAATGGGATATCTGTATCACACCTTTCCCTTCAAGGCTGAGAGACCTATGGGGAAGAGGGATTGGAAAGATTGTGAAGAGCCAGAAGTGCTAGACGACATCAAAGAAACTGTTTTCTAGACACAACCAGGCAGATACACATGTAAACACATAGTGGCATGATGGAATATGGCATACACAGAATCTGCACTAGCTCAAGCTGGACAAAATTTCAGCATGGAGTTGGGAGGTGGGCAGGAAGTCCTACCCTGGCTGAGGAGCTATTGACATTTGATTGCTGCTGGAAGAGTGAGTCAGTTTTCTTTAGTGGAGTGACATCAAGCACTCCAGGGCAAGCCCCATGCTCAAGAGTGGTCTGCTAGCACAAATAAATGCTGTATTTTTTTTTTTAAGAGCAGAGACAGGAAACATGAAGTTGGGTTAGTAGCGAGGTGGGAGTGGATTTGGGAGGAGGTTTGGGAGAGGAAAAAGTAAGATAAAATTCACTGTATGAAATTCTCAAAGATTAAATAAAAATATTACTTAAAAATTTTAAAATACACTTCTCTGAATTGGAATCAAACAGTTACCAAAACCATAAACATAACAAGTAACAATAAATGTGCATTAAAACCAGTGACTAATATATGACTTAAATGCAACAAGCATGCAGGAAACATATAGGTAGCAGTACCTGTGTCCATGACCAAATATATCCATCTACATTGACTACAGGCAGAACGTAAAAAGTCATCCGGTCCAGGAGTTTGGTCATGATTCTATTTTTCCCATAACTCTTAGTTGCCTAGAGGGGAGAGAAAGTTAGGTTGCTATTGAGAAAGCTAGATCTATTAGCCATAGCTACCAATCTTCGAGTTGTTTTTCAAGGTTAGATGATTTTAAACATTTTTTAAAGTAGGTAAACATAAATGACTCACATAGATTAAGAGAAAAACATATTAAATGCAGAGACATAAACTGGAATGAATGTTTTTTAAAGATTTACTTAATTATCCATACTGGAAGCTGCCAGTTATAGCCTGTATAACCACAGACAAAACAGAGCCAAGTGGATGTTAATAGCACCAGGTATGTGATAAGATCATTCTCTCATGTCCCTTAAGTAAATATAGATCAAGTCTGTGAACACAAGGAGATAGGAACAAAGGATAAGGTTCATAAATATCTATAAATATGACTAAAGAAAAACCCTTTTTAAGTGCTGTGGATTTAACCCAAATTCTTATGCACAGCAAGTATGTGCTCTCCTGATGATCCATACCTCCAACCAAGAAATTCACATGTACAAGTGTACCTGTGTGTCCCTATGAGGGAAGGCCCGAGGATGACAGAAGGTTCAAGTGACTGCCTTAATTTCTCTCAATTCTCACAACTCAAAGCTTGAAAATTTAGCTGGGGTGACTGCCAGAAGGCCCCAGGGATCTGTTGTCTCTGCCCCATCCAACTCCCCTAGTGCCAGGATTGCAGGCATGTACTTTAAATGCTGGGGTAGGATTCCGGTCCTCAAGCTTGCACAGCTAGCACTTTACTGACTCATCTCCCTGGCCTCAGAAAATTCATAAAATTAATACAAATCTCTGGCAATGCTATATACTTTCTAGCAATCACAAAACACTTGGTTCAATTTCTAGCAATAATGATAAAACAAAAATTTAAATGTCAATAATTTAGAGATTGACCTGTCAGTGTTTCTGGTTTTTTGTTTTTGTTTTTTTGGCATAAATTCCTCCAATTATCTGAGCTATCGATATTCTCAAAAACAAAACCAAACAAAACCCTCCCCATTCTTGAAAAATTCCTCTCAGTACATGTGTATGTGTGTGTATA